GATTCTCTCTCTCTCCCTCTCCTCTGCTCCTCCCCTGCTCACACTCTCTCTCTCTCTTTCAAAAATAAATAAACTTTTTAAAAAATGTCATCCTAGGATTCAGGAGAATGTTCAGAGCTAGAGATGGAGATGTGGGTGTGTGCAGAAGAGTTCACATAGTAGGCCTTAGGCTGTCCTCAGAAAGGCCTTCATGAAAGACTGACCCTTAGCTGGCATCTGGGAACTTGATTTGGGGAGTGGTGCCACCATTCCCTTACTGATAAGAGGGTCTCAATGTGCCTAACTTGTGCAAATAATGTGGTTTATGCTGAACACTTGCTTTCCTTCTGGGAGTCTGGAATTTTGGTCCATGGCAGGCAGCGGTGCCTATATGACCAGCCCCCAGTAAAATCTTGGGCACCGAGTCTGTAATGAGCTTCCTTAACAGCAACACTTCTTCCATGTCCCGTCTGGTGCTGGAAGGACGTGTTCTTGTATCACTGCACTGGGATAGGACTCTTGGAAACTTGCCTGGTTTCCTCCAGACTTCACCCCATGTCCCTTTGCCTTCGATTTGTCTCCTTGGCTTGTAAGACATTGTAGCTGTGAGCACAACTATATGCTCCGTCCCCGGAGTCCTAGCCGACCACTGACATGGCGTCATCCTGGGATCCTCCAACACAGAGTTATCAGGAACATTAGGTGCTTCGATGATGGGACTAAAAAGAATTAACTGCCCTCCTCCCCCAGTCTACATGCTTGCACTGGACTGACCATGTGACCTGGATCCCAAGTGATCACAGCGGAATGGTCACTCTGCATCAGCCTACAGACAGAGATGAAGAAGCCCCTTCCTGTTGTAAAACACACGGTCTGAAATGCAGCAAAAGGACAATGGCAACACTCAAAGGAAGATTAAAGAAAGCCTCGCAACCACACCAGAAGCAAAATCTACTTATCTAAGCAATAGAAGCATCCTCTTAACAAAATGTTAAAGAAAGAAAGGAAGAAAGAAAGAAAGGAAGGAAGGAAGGAAGGAAGGAAGGAAGGAAGGAAGGAAGGAAGGAAGGAAAGAAGGAAGGAAGGAAGGAAGAAAAGTCCTAAAGGTGTTGTAAGGGCCATGGCTATTCCCTCTAGTAAATCAAGAACAATACAAGACTTCTGGTATCTTTTTTTTTTAATTTTTTAATGTTTTTTATTTCTGAGAGAGAGAGAGACAGCGTGAGCAGGGGAGGGTCAGAGAGAGAGGGAGTCACAGACTGAAACAGGCTCCAGGCTCTGAGCTGGCTGTCAGCACAGAGCCCAACGCGGGGCTCGAACCCACGGACCGCGAGATCATGACCTAAGTGAAAGTCAGACACCTAACCAACTGAGCCACCCAGGTGCCCCCAAGACTTCTGGTATCTGATACAAGACCTCAAGTGAAATTAAGGAGCTGATTATAGCTTTAAGGAACTTGTACCCAAAGCCCCTAACCTGTTGTACGGAGACAGAGGACTGTTCAACATTATGGCAGTTCCTGAACCAGTGCTCACGTCAAAGTGCTAAGATCAACACTGTTCACTAGCATCTCCTCAAACCTTCGAGCCCCCACCACTCACTGGATATCTTTCTGAAAGTGGCCCTAATTCAGGATTGGGCCAGCCAGATTGGCTGACCAAACAACCCATTCTACATCCAGATAAGAGAGTCAACAAAGAGATGCTTACAAGTTCATTATTTCTATCATTCATCCCTCTAAGTTTGCTCAGCAAGATGTGTGTACATTCTACACCAGCCATCAATGCAATCAAATACACTTCTTTCCCCCCCTTTTTTTAAAATATTTTTTTAAATTTATTTCTAGGAGAGAGAGAGAGAGAGAGAGAGAGAGAGACAGCGTGAGCAGGGGAGGGTCAGAGAGAGAAGGAGTCACAGACTCTGAAACAGGCTCCAGGCTCTGAACTGGCAGTCAGCACAGAGCCCGACGCGGGGCTCGAACCCACGAACTGTGAGATCATGACCTAAGTGAAAGTCGGACGCTTAACCAACTGAGACACCCAGGCGCCCCACTTCTTTCCCCGTTTTACATGTGGTCCTTTTTCCACTTCACTCTATCAGGTAGACAGGGGCTACAGTTATCATTTATCCCAGAAGCTGGATGGTAAGAAGTCACAATTAAGCCTGATCAAATCCAAGCTAATGGAAGAACGGACACCATCCAGTTCACCATTATGAATCTGAACTCATACGAGTGGCTAAATTGTGTCACTTCACCATACAAAAGCTCTATATGAATCTGGATCGTTTCTCTTTGGGGAGAATGTGAAAATGTTTTGCAATTGCACAGAAGGCAGTTGGATTATGGTTAAATAGGGGCATTTTTGAAGTTAAATGGAGGAGGAAAGGTATGTATATACTGGTCGACCAAGAGGTTACACTCTTCAGATATGACATTAATAGAGGAAAAATACACCTGAAAGTTTTATTTTGCAGAAGATAAAGGATTATGTTACTAAAAAAAAAAAAAAGAAGAAGGGGAGGAAGTATAGGAACCAACTTGATCTTCAGAGATTTAATACTCAAAATAAAACCAAAAAAAGTGCCAAAAGTAATTAATGATCCCTAATTATCATAAGTGTGGGTATGTTTGGGACCTCACACATCCATAGTCTCTGAAAAGAAGTCACAACCTGCCTGTCACGACCAGTGACACTTACAGTCATGTCCTCTGGAACGTGGACCATTCGGCGTTCTGGGGGATGGACGGCTCTGGCTTGTTGGGCGGGCAATCATCTTACAAACAGATATCCCGGCTCTCTGGCTGCCAATGTTCCCCAGGATGGAGGAAGAGACCCCAGAAGAGCTGGCTGCCACTGCGAAGGGAATAAGAACCGCCCCCATCACGTGGTACTATTTCTATACAATTTCTTCCTCCTCTGGCCAGATGTCATCCAAATGGAGAGGGGCAGGAAGATTAGAGATAGTTCACTGGAAGTTCTTGTCAAGGAGTAAGATTTGTCAAAATGCCTCAGACTCAACTTAGGAACTACGATCCTTCACACGGGGTCTTCAGATGTTTCATTCACCTCTTTTCTGGATCCATCCTCACAGGGCGGATTCTGCTTTATAACTTTCAGGGGCAGTGCTCTCATTGTTCGTGGCCCGAAGGGTGATGTTTACATACAGAACTTAAGGCAATCACAAAGTCGTGCTGTCGCGAAACTACAAAAGTAGAAAACTGTCTTCAGGAAGGAAGAGACTGAAAACTTCCCAAAGCACTTCTGCTTTTCCAGAATGCTGGTGAGTGGGAAAAGCGCAAGCTTTGGAGGCCAATGGTCCTGTGTCTGACTCTAAACTCTGCTACTCACTGTTAAGTGGCAACAATACTTCAAGATCTTGGGTGGCCTAAATTATAAATCCATGCTAAATACCGAAAGGAAAATAACCACAGGGTGAATAAAAGATAGTCAAGTACAGGTCAAGGCTCCTTGAAACTATACACATATATGAGAGGGAATGCAGATGGGAGGCTCAGTGTTGAACAGAAACATGCAAGACAGCCATGCTGTAAAGAATAAGCTCTCAGGACACGGCACAGAGCATAATATCCCAATGAAGAGTTTCAAAGGATTTGTTCCTTCCTGAACATGAACCATGTTCAGGGGTGCAATCATTGCTAACTAGGAGCTATAAATAGATAAAGAGCCTTTGTATTTGTCCTCAGCTTTGTTTACTGGGCAATGAATGAAAATATGACGGAAAACACTCCTTTGTTCCCAACTAGGATACCGATTTACAGAATATATTAAGCCTGCTGCTTAGAGGGAACTTTCCACCAACTGTACAACATAGTTCTATTTCAAATGCCTCTTTGGGATCCCTTCACATCCTGGTCTTACTATGTCTTGCAAAGGACTAAGTCAAAGTATGAATGTGCTTTGATTTTTTGGTCTTTACCCCTACTTTTTGCATTCCCCCCTTTCTTTGTTCTCTTGGTTTTCCTAACGATCAAGCCAGGGAAGGTAGAGCCTCCTGAAGAATATTCCACAGGAGACATAAATGCTGGATTTAGTCTCTTGTCCTACTGGGAACAAACGGGATCCCTGAAATGAGGGAGATGTGTGCATTTAAGATAAATGTCTACATTGGCAGAGCTTGTAACACCTCTCTCTCTTCCATTCGGGGGATTTTCCATCTCATTTCCATCCAGCGGATTTTCTCTCTCTCCCACTTCATACTGAACAAGAAACCAACTAATATCCTTTTCCCCCAACATTTGTACTCCCTTCTCTCTTTCCAGTTTCACTGCCATCGCACTAGGTGAGCTAATAACTGAGGGTGATGATAACTGATGACTGAAAGGGTCACAATGGTTCCTTTATGGTTTTTTCGCTTCCCCTCTCTCTCCATCCCGCTGTGTTCTGAACACTACACCACACCAATTTTCCTGAAACATGAAAAATGATCTTACCATTCGCCACTAAAATCCACCAAGAGACATCAAACACTTGTAAGGTGAAGTAAAATTCCTTAGTCTGGCATTGAAAGCATTCAAACCTCCCAGCCCCGCACCCGTCACTGAACTATATAAACCTCTTACTCCAAACAAGGTCATGACTCTTCCTAAAAGCTTTGCCCTCCAGGCGTTAAGTGCACTCCCCAAGAACTCCCGTGTGTACCTCTTACCTGATGAACTGAATATACTTACTTAATCAGAAAGAAAAACTAAATCTGGAGATACACGTAAATCTCCCAGAATCTGAGGACTTTGGCCTTGTGGTTTTCCCCAAGCAGAATCACCACAGGAAAATTGTGTCATATATTCATAAATAAGCACTGAACTCAGGTAATTCGGTAACTCATTTTATCAACTGATTTTCTAAGAGGAAACGGTCCCTTCCTGTGAAGATACTTTGTCCTCGGCCGAATCCTCAACACCTGTTAACACTGCCTGACACCTTGTAGAAATGAGATTTCTTTTTCCTGTTTTGAGCAAATACATCCCGGGGGACCAAGAGAAAAGACTAGTTCACATACAGCTTTGTTGTAATATTTATTGGTAGAAATAGATCTTCAATGCATACTTCGTGTTCATATAAATTCCACATTCTCTTAAGGGTTTTGTGTTTTGTATTATTTGGAGTTTTTGGCCTCCAAGTAAACTTAACATATTATCTATGCATTTGATTCTTCATAGACATTTTTTTTTTAGATTTTAAAAGTAAATTTTAGAAACCATGCATATTGGTATACGTTACTTAATATAATCTGAAGAATTGTCTGCACGTTCAAAAAAAGTCACAAAAAGGCTGAACTCAAGTTAAATAATCTCTACGTACTAAAATGTCCGTGTTCCGTTTCTGAGTAAAGAAATACTTGTTCAATATTCCATATTGCTTGCTGTCTAATACGATTGTCAGAGACGCTTCAGTTAATTATCTCTATTTTTAAATATCTTAATCTACTTCCTCCCAGAGATGATCCTGTAAATGTTACACATTGTGCCAAATGCAGTAATAGCCCAAAAGCTTAAATACGAACCAAACTGGTAGTTTTCAGACTGAATATTTTAACCTTAAAATTATATATCTCTATATACATATATGGTATGCTGCATATTAAATTTAACATTTCAAGTAACTTAAATATATTTAGCAAACATTCAGCCAAACACTCTCTCATGAAAAGACATTGTCCTTAGAATAAAAAGTTGATGAAAGGCTTGTAGACACCAGTGTCGGCACATGGTACTAAGCCTATCGGACTTGGCGGTCCAAGTCAAGTCGGCTGTGCTATTAAGAAAAGGAAGATTGATTTTTAACTTACTGAACTGTGCAGATACAAAAGTGCTTTAGCATGACAAAATTACCAAAATAAAAACATTTTAAAGATTATTTGGTTCTAGCAATATTAGACTACTCTGTACTTGTTGATAATTTAACATACGCCGTTTTCAGTTTTATAGAAATGTTCGTTTTAACAAGTTAAAAAAAGCACACAAAAAATAGTTCCAACTATAATAATCTGTTCTTTTTTCATCCTGGTTAGCCCATCACAGATAATTCAACAGAAGAGTGCTTAAATCCTCAGCTCTACTAAAATGTAATCTATCTGAAGAGCCCCAACACCTCACCCGTCGTTGGCTAGGCTGGACCCCAGAACAGGCTGCCGGCAGATGGGGCAAGTGCAATTCTCAGAGAGCCAGCGGTCAATACAATGGATGTGAAATTCGTGCATGCAGGGTAACTGCCTGAGCTTGTTTCCAGTCACATAGTCACTGATACACACACTACAGATTTTACCTGGTTCGCTATCGATACTGTTGTGCTCATAGTTCCGGGTGGAAAGATTGTCAATCTGCTCTTTGGTTAAACCATGTATGTGATCGTCGCCATCACCTTCATTTAGTAAAAAGAAGTGAGCAAGGCGAAGTATAGGTAGTGTTCCAGTTTCGACTAAGGTATTTGAATTTCGCGGCTGGCTGCCCCCTCTGTCGCCACCGTGCTGGGCGTGAGGCTGGGCAGTCCCGCTCTCTCCGGGCACTTCAGTGCTGTCTGCTCGGGCCCGCCTGCTTCGAGCGGCACCTGGACGGGGCTGGCTCCGGTCGTTAGCTGCACCTCGTGTCCTCAGCGCGGAGTGCCTCTCTGCTAAGTGCTGGCCGTGTCTCCGAATCTCGGACTCAGATTCGGCCTCCATTAGGGAACTCAGTTCTCCAAATCCGGTCATGATCTGCCTTAAAATGGACCGAAGGGCCACGGATGATGGTTCCACCAGCTCATTCTGAGAAACCCTGCGCAGGGGGACTGTGATGGTGCTAACATAGGTCTGGATACCGGACCGCTCTAAACGAGAGATAGTTCGGCGAAAGCCCCCACTATTGCTTTCGATCGTGACTGTGTTCTCCGCCAGCCCTGCCCTAGATCGAGTTCTACTCGCGATACTATCCCGATCTCGGCTTTCTCCGGGACGGATCCTTCTCACTTGGAGGTCCAGGGTGATCGTTGGGTGCCGTCGTGCAGCACTTGAAGGTCTGGGGGATTCTTCTCCTTCTTCGACTGTTATTCTTGACACAAGTCTTGAGTTCGAGAAGGGCGCATAGGCGATACCTCCACGTTCCCTGTCCTGCTCTAAAAAGACACGCGTCATCCCTCTCCTCCTAACAGACCTGCTGACGTGTTGCTGTGAAGGTCTGCTTTCTCTCTGGGGGTTACGATAAACGGTGCTGCTTTGCCTCTGGATTGGCGAGCGGCTTCGACTACTGAAAGCAGACCGCAATCGCAGTGGCTCTAATCTTTGGTTTGTATTCCTCACTGTGACATTAGTTCTAGCCTCGTTTTCCCAGACATGCGCTGCTCCAAACCGCTGCCCCTCCCGCTGCCTGAGGTCACTGCCACCCGCCTGGCTCGCGCGGCTACCTAAGCTAGCCCGCGCGGCTCTCGTTCTAGGGATGCCGACTGCTCCCCCAAGGCCACTTCGTAATCTTCCCAGTGTTGAGAGAGATCCTTCTACCGAATTCTGCCCCCTTGAACCAAGCCTCGTCCTCGGGACATTGGAACTCCCACCATGGAGGTTCAGGGAGGTTTGGCTCCTTGTTCGCCTAGCCACGGGGCTAGCCGATCTCTGGTGCCTACTTGCGGCGCGATCCCTGCTAAAATCTGACAGCGGAACGCCGGTCTGATCTTCGCCGTGAAGTTCAATTCCTCTGTTCTCATGATTTATGTGGATTTCCAGGCTAAACCGAAACTCGCCGCTGTTGGGGTTTGTTCGGCTCACGGCTCTCCAGGTCTGGTTCCCGTTTTGTCCACTTCGAGTTGCGTTTCCTGTGCGTCGAAACGTGTTCAACCATTCTAGCAGAGAATCTTCATTTGGACTTTCTCGAGGGACTTCTGAGTCTGGGAAGCAAAGCAAATCAACTTAAGGCCAATTCCTGAATTCTATCCTGAGACGTCCATTGAAAGCTTACAAGATACAGTTTTTATTAAATGCAATAATATTTAAGAACATCTGTGCATTTTAATGAATGAAAATGGCGAAAACCTAAAATTTCTAAAAGAAAAATATATACTATACGCATATTAGAATACATTCTGACGTGTTATAAAACTGTTATAATGCTGTTTATGCAAAGCTCTGAAGAAATCCTCACTCTTACCTTCTGTATGTCTATTACTGGCAAAATATAAAGGCAAATGAGGGGGCGCCTGGATGGCTCAGTCGGTTAAGTGCTTGTCTCTTGATTTCAGCTCAGGTCATGATCTCCCCATTCTTGAGTTCAAGCCGTGTCAGGCTCTGTGCTGACGGCGCAGAGTCTGCTTCAGGTTCTCTGGCTCCCTCTCTCTCAGACCCTACACCCACCTTCACGCTCTCTCTCACTCTCTCTCAAAAATAAACATTTTTAAAAACTAAAGCAGAAGAGAAATACAAACTACAACTGTACATTTAAAATGCTTTATATAGATGAGAAAATCAATAAAATATAGTGGTGAAACTTATATATAGTTCATCGTAAATTTTTACAACTAGGTATTTTCATAACCTCAGGAATTTTATCCTATTTCTCAGGAACTGCCAAAAATGTACACCTCAAGAAATCTGGCTTTTTGAATATAATATGAGAACTACATTTTGTCTTTGTGTGAAGCTGAGAAACTTTAGGCATGCTACCTAAGTTCTCTATGACTGCATCCTTATTTGTAAATTGGAGATAATAAAAGTATAAATATCATAGGATTATCATGAAAATAAAAGAAGATACTAGACATAAGATGACTAGTACAATACCCAGCATATAGGAAGCATTCAATAAATGTTAGCCATTATGAGTATTTTCTGCTCATTTAGAACGTAAGCTCCATGAAGATGAAGAGTTTTGTCTTGTTTTATTTACTGTTAAATCCCCACCTCTACAACAGTATCTGGTACAAATCAGACTCTCAATTAGTGTTGAAAGAATCAATTTAGAAATAAGCATGCCCCCCAGGGGTGCCTGGGTGGTTCAGTCTTCAAGCATCTGACTTTGGCTCAGGTCATGATCTCATGGTTTGTGAGTTCGAGCCCCGTGTTGGGCTCTGTGCTGACAGCTCGGAGCCTGAAGCCTCCTTCAGATTTGATGTCTCCCCTTCTCTCTGCACCTTCCATGCTCATGCTGTCTCTCTGTCTCTCAATAATAAATAAAAATGTTAAAATTTTTAGAAAAATAAATGTGCCCCTAATAAACTTCTACACTACTGCTACTATAGGAAGCTTAAGTTTCCCGTTTTTAACCAGTGGATTACATAAAAGCCAAAACTCCATGAAAAGCATTCTAATGCATGTGAACTATACAGACTTTAACCTTTAAGTTTATGCTACACAAAAATGGCTGTTAAATGAGATGGCTTTGATTTCATTTCATTACTGCAATCTCTCATAAAACTCATTTTCAAATATTAAAGTTAAAGCTATTAATCAGCTGCTGGTGTCAATAAAATAAACAAACTTTATTTTATTATTATTTTTTTTAATGTTTTATTTATTTCTGAGACAGTGAGAGAGAGAGAGAAAGACGGCGTGAGCAGGGGAGGGTCAGAGAGAGGGAGACACAGAATCTGAAGACAGGCTCCAAACTCCGAGCTAGCTGTCAGCACAGAGCCCTACGTTGGGCTCAAACCCACAAACCATGAGATCATGACCTGAGCCAAAGTCGGACGCTTAACTGACAGGCACCCCACTAAAATAAACAAACTTTAGCCACACATAAAGATACAAGCTATTTTACATGTGGTAAGTACATTTTCCATTAAGACATAGTAAAAGGACCAGTATAACCAGCTATTGCAATGTGGCACAACTTCCCTACCTACATATACAGGAAATAAAGGGGTTAATATCCAATTTCCATTTTAATTTGGGAAGAGACAGGAGTACTGGGCAGATAAAAAGCATTCTAACGGCAACTTCCGTCTTTAGTTACTGGAGTACTGTGAGGACGGGCTGTGTAAAGGAGCTCACAGATAATCTGAGGGAACCTGTCTTGCCCTCCTCCTCCCACCACAAATGCACGGTCATGGTCACGGGGACAGCCTGGCGGTCGGGTGCAGCCGCGTGACTCAGATCTCATCAATGGCACGGGAGTGACAGTGAAGGACCTCACTTTCGGACTGGCACCTGGCCCCCCCTGGAACCTAGGCCTGGCCGCTAGGACGGACTCGTGGCTGTGACGTGGCCGGGCCACGTGAACCATGCCCCGGAGGGGCAGCGTCCAGGGTCCAGCGTCCAGCTCTGTGCGGCAGTGGGGACGTCCTCCGTCCCTGCTGTGCAACACGGACATCACGAGCCACATGTGACTTCTAGGCACTGCAGAGTGGCTGACAGGAGCGAAAGGCTGCATTTGAAGCATTATTTAATTTTCCTTAGTTGAAGTTTAAATGCTCGCATGAGACTAGTAGCTCCTGTGCTGGGCAGCACTCCTCTGGGTGGGCTCCAGGAGGTTTATGGAGGAAAGTGCGCCATCTTCCCTGGGCTGTCAACAGAAAAGTAAGCCTCTATCCTCCGGAGCCATTGCGTTTTTGAGTTTTCAACGGTCTTTGCTCTGATACAATAATCTTGATATAATATGTGAAACTACTTAAAAAAAAAAAAAAAAAAAAGTGAAGCTCCCAACAATGAATACCTCTGGGGAAGGAAGCAGAACTGGTAAGAGGTACGCGGAGTTGGCTTTGCTTCTAATTCTATATACTTCTGTTTAGTTTGAATTTTTTTCTCTTTATTTTTTTTATAGGAACTCCTTATATTATGACTTAGTGTTTGTCCAGTAAAATGACAAACACAAAAATAATAAAACCAACAATGAAGACAGGTTTCCTCAGTCTTTCTGTGTTGTTCTGTAGAAATTTTTAGAAGTGTAGTTACTTTAAGAGAAGTGGTGTGGACATTCTAAGATTAAAAAGAATTATCCTGGTAATTAACTTAATTGTACACTATTTCATGTATATGAGCTTCCTAAGGGCAATCTGTGTGAAAGGTCTTTGTATTCAACCCCTGTCCTATGTGGCCTAACTAGGCTACTTTGCATATAATGGGTAAATACTATCTGAATGGGTATCACATGAAAACTGGAAAACACTGAAAACATATTGGGCAAGACCCAGTAAATTCACATCTGCGATTGGTCTAACCGAACCTGTTCCTAATGAAAAGGAGTCCACGGTACCTCTGGCATTTGTCCCATTTCTCAAGTCAGGCTGAGCTGCGAGCTGTTCCTTGACTCCATCTAATCGCTGCTGCAGTTCTTCTGATGTTATTTCTCCTAGAATAAAAAATTGCTCGGTGAAATTAAATGTCTTAAATTATTGTTTTATGAGAACTCGTGAAGGGTAATCTTCAGCAATCTGTAGAAGACATGCTATTATTTTCGTGTTAAGTTGAAGACAGTTAAAAATATTTAGTTGATGCAAGTATGCATCATTTCGGGTGTGGTTTATTAAAATGAAAATAGGATTTAATTTGAATAATTCAAAAAATCCTCTCAGTTATACACTTTGGAATCTGGAAGCTCTAATTCGTATATTCTTATTAGAGTTAAAAGAAGTTTAAAAGGGAGTATTTCTAGAAAAAACGTGGAATCTTTATTTGCTTGAATGTTACCTCAATAGTTCATTATATCGGTCATCAATATACAGTGGGCAAATATGCAATACACAAATATATCCTGTACAAACATACCAGTTTCAGTTAGTTCATTTGTGAAATGAATTTTTAAAATATTTATGGAGCACACTAGACTTTTGAAGCATTATTAATTTAGCTAAGTAAATACATTATAACACCTCAAATTGGGTTTTTTAATGTTCATTTATTTTTGAGAGAAAGAGAGCGTGCACACGCACACAAGTGGGGGAGGGGCAGAGAGAGAGGGAGACAGAATCTGAAGCAGGCCCCAGGGTCTGAGCTGTCAGCACAGAGCCCGATGTGGGGCTCAAACTCACAGACCACTATATTATGACTGAGCCAAAGTTGGAGGCTTAACCAACTAAGCCACCCATGCGCCCCAGAACTGGGTTTGAAATAATGCCTAATCTATAACCAACCAATCTATCTATAACCAACCTAATCTATAACCAAAGAGAAACAGGGCCATAGATGTAAATATCTGACACTATTATATACATTAACTATCTGTTAGCTTGGCGTTTATATAACAGTGCTCCATGTCTAAGATTCATACTTACTTATAAAACAGAAAAGTAAGCCAGTGATTTTCTATTCTGTCATATTACAAGCTTCTTAAATTCTATTTTGGGAGAGGGAAGAAGGGGGGGAAACCCCCTCCTTATTTTGAGACTTCTCTTTACTATAATAAAAAAAGGTGTCTCCGCTATTACCCATCTCTTACCAGGGGTGCCTAAAAGATTGTGGTCTCTCATTAGCCTATAATCTTCATCGTTGAGCTCATTAATAAACTGGTAATAGGCTTCTTCTCTGCGGAGACGCTCTTGCTGCCATCTTCTCTCACTTTCACGTTGATTACGGTCTTGAGATGAGGCTTCTTCACCACCATCGTCCGATCTCGATCTCGACGGGTTCATACTGAGATTCCTGGCTTTCTGTCCGAACAATATGTACAAGGTTCTGTTAGCCGGGGACTACACAGAGCTTCGTGTTTTTAACTTATAGTCTCTTCACTCTCATTTTAAATTTCATCCGCTACCCATGTATTCCATATGCCAAATCTTGCAGTGAAGAACTCACGCATAAAATGAAAAACAGCTTCTAGGAGACAGAACACAAGTGGACCTACTTCTTTGCTTAAAGCCATTGTTTAAGGTGGACCGGGTTTGGTTTTACCGTGCATTCCTCGTACCTGAATGCCAAAGTGATTCTCTCATTTTTCTACCTCTTTCACTCTCTGACCACTTTGATGGAAAAGCCCTCACTGGGGGCGCCTGGGGGGCTCAGTCGGTTGAGCGTCCGACTTCGGCTCAGGTCATGATCTCATGGTTCGTGGGTTCGAGCCCCACGTCGGGTCTGTGCTGACAGCTCAGAGCCTGAAGCCTGCTTCGGATTCTGTGTCTCCCTCTCTGCTCCTTTCTTGCGCATACTCTGTCTTTCTCAGAAATAAACAAGTATTTTTTTAAAAAAAGGAGAAGAAAGAAAAGCCCTCATTGATGGTTCAAATATCTGGTACTTCATGTTAGCATACAAAATATAAGCTGAATTATGCACTTTATGCCTAACTTTAAATTATGTTCTTTACTTAATGAGCAAAGAGCTGTTGGGAGGCTATCGTTTACATTCATTTCCAGCTTAGGTATTCTTCCCAAAATAAAACTCACAGATGTAATATTACCCTCCACTGCCCTGTGTTAAGGTAAAAATGATTTGGCTGAACAGACGTAAGTTGGCCTCTCACACCCAACAGGAAACAGTCCTCCTTGAAGAGCTCTGAGGGACGTGACTATGTGTGTATCCAAGCTCTCTGCGTCTCCCCAGGCCTGGTTGGTCTCAGAGGTTTCTGACTGCCCGTGAAACTTCCTGACCTGGCTGAGGCAAACCTTGCTTTTTTTTTTTTTTTTTTATTATACTCAAATGTCATTCCTTAGAGGCTTATGTTCACATGGAAAAGAAACCGGTGAGAAAAAGTAGTTGTGTCACAAGTATTACACATCTATTACACATCACACATCTATTTAGTAAGTCAACAGTTCTCACCTGGGAATGCACATCAAACTCATCTGAGGAATTCTTAAAAATTTGTTTTATTATTTTATTTCTTATTTTATTATTCGTTTTTGGGACAGAGACAGAGTGTGAGTGGGGGAGGGGCAGAGAGAGCAGGAGACACAGAATCAGAAGCAGGCTCCAGGCTCTGAGAGCCTGACACAGGGCTCAAACTCGTGAACTGCGAGATCATGACCTGAGTCCATGTCTGACGCCCCATCGACTGAGCCTCCCAGGCGCCCCCTCATTTAAGGAAATTTTAAAAAATAAAGATGCCCTAGATCTCATCTCTAATCCCAAATCAGAATTTTCCAAGGTAGGGCCTGGGTCTGCCTTTTAAAGTTAATTTGGGTGTCCTGTGGAAGGAAATAAACTATTCCTTGACAATTTCTAGAGGTCAATAAAGGGTGTGTGTAATATAGCACATGACTTAAGGGAGGCTGGAGGATCAAATAACTAGGTGACCAGGGAAGCAATTGTTGCAACTCTGACTCAGTGTTTAATCAGCAAATTACTTTAAAATACAAAGTAAATGAGTCTACATGTCTAAACTGTGCGTGAGTAAGCAAGTATCCAATTTCATGTGCGTTCTAACATTAAATTACAAATTCGAGGATTTTGTTAGTGACCATTGTGTCCTTTTTTAAAAGGAGAGATCTAATCACACTAGCCAGTCAAATGCAAATTAACCTTGTTAAAAACTCAAGACTTCTTTCCATTTTCAGAAGAGACGGGACAAAGCCAATCATCAGTAAAGAGCACATTTGGTAGGCAGAGAGGTCGTCAACATTTTTGTACTAAACATGAAAAAAATTCTGCAACCCACCATAAAATCAAGCTACCCCGGTATCGCTCAAAACTTGAAGAGCTCCTTCTCCAAGGTACTTTTCTTGTACCATTAACCACAATTAAGCAAAGTGAATACCTTATTTTCCTTTCAACATGCTTTTAATGTATGCAGTGGTATCCATCCTTCAATTGTTTGTGCTTTTTTGGAGAGCTGCCCATCTGAAGCAATGAGAGAGAACGGAATCATTCACTAAATGGTCCCTTTGAAGGACAGGAATGGCTAACAAAGTCAAAGCTCTGCTGCAAAGTCACAGCAAAATCCTTAATGGATCCTGGTAAGACAGTCACCGAGAAAATGAGATCCCCAAACAATTAGGTCATTAAAACCTCCCGCAAGGCCCTTTTCTCCCCCACCAGAAACCAGGCCTGCCCTCCTACACAGCCCCGGCTCCTGGGATCCCAACTCCCCTCCGCGCGGCCTGCCTTCCTACCCTCCTCCCATTCAGATGTTACCAGGGTCAGGCGTCTCCAGTTTACTTCTGAACCTTCACTTTCTTGCCACCCCCACCCTCCGTCCCGCTACTGGTTCATTCCCGGCCGTTGCGACGGGAGCTCGTGCCGGGGTACGGTTCGCACTGCAATAAACAAACTGGGCTCAAGGGCCCGACCAACCTCTTCCCAACCGAGCCTCAAGGAACGCTTCCCTTAGCGACCTGCATTCCCACAGGGACGCAGGTGACAGACGGCGCGTCGGAGCCAATCACCGGCTAGGGGAGTGCATTCAGGGCGCGGTGAACCAATCGGAGGAGAGACGGGGGCCAAGGGGGGGCTGGCTTTCCTGAGCGTCTCCCGGAAGTAGTGGCCGACCCGGAGCCTTTCCCCGAGCTCACCTCGCCGGGAGCGGGGCCGTCCTGCTCCCGCCCTAAGGGAAGTCCGCGGCGGGCGGCGCTCCTCTCGGGTCCTGGAAGCTTGGGACCGACGGGCGTGGGCGAGAGGGGCTGGTCTCCGGAGGCCGCTGCTCCCTCTAATCGTCTACTGAAGGGAGAAGCCGGAAGCCCGTGCTGCAGCTTGGGGTCGTCCAGATGGCGGGGAGACCCTAGAGGAGGCATACAGGCCTCGGCCCTTTTTACCCCGCTGCCAGGTCCTCCCCTCGGACGAGCGCAGACGCTGCTCCCCCCGCCCCCCGGCAGGACGCTCGCTGGTGCCGCTGAAAATTGTGTCCGGCGGGATGTGGGACGCTAGCGTCCTGCGTTCCGCCCCGTCAGGGCTCTCGGCCAGGACTGGTTGTTCCAGGGGCCCCCGGAGTGTCAAGGACTGGGCCGCTCAGCGCTCCGGCAGCCTCATAGGCTCAGGGACACAACCTGCTTTCCACCCTTAGGAAGTAGTAGCACCTACCCTGAGCCTTGATGTGGCTTGTTTACGGAGCCTGGCTACACACGGCAACCCAGCAGTCTGTTTCCGTCCCTTTACTGCCCCAGTACCACGTTAACTAATTGATCAGCCAGGCTTTTCTCTTTATTGCTCACTGGCACCTGAAAACTACAAACCCCAGTGGTTCAGAAGTGCCTGTATATGTGTTTCTTCACTTTCCCGCTAGACATGCGCTTGGAAACTCCCCGGATTCATGTCTCTAGCTTGAATGCTGAGACTTCACCAAACTCGCTTCACCGTTAATTAAGCCCTTGACTAGGGCTCTGCCCAGCCTGGTGTAGGCTCCTTTCCTGACATCCCTACCATCCAGAAGACTTAACCATTGCACAGTGCTCACACTGCTATGATTCTTTATTCGCTTGTTCATTAACTCATTCATTCCTGCCTTAACCTTTTTTTTTTTAAGGTTAATTATTTTGAGAGAGCACGTGTGCGCAAGGGAGGGGCAGAGAGGGAGGGGGAGAGAGAGAGAGAGAGAGAGAGAGAGAATCCCAAGCAGGCTCTGCATTGTCAGCGCAGATCCTGACTCGGGATTCCATCTTGAGAACGGTGAGGTCATGACCTAGGCCAAAATCAAGAGTCAGATGCTTAACAGACTGACCCACCCAGGTGCCCCCTTCCCCTGACTTTTGAGGAGTTAGCCAGCCTGTCCCCACCATTATGCTTAGCGCCTGTGAAGAAGATGTGGTCTTAAGCATGGGTGAGCTATTGCTTTAGCAGGGGTAGATGGACTAAGTTAAAAAAAATCATATTGTTATAAATACTAAAATGAAAATATATAAATAGGGACGTCTACCAGGCCCTTTGGGACATCTTTGCTGCATACCTCTATACAGAGACTAATCTCTTCTTGGCCTTCCAGAACAACTTGAGGTTCCTCAACAATCAAATAGGAACTCCTAAGTAACACCCAAACCCACTTTTACCTAATTTCCTTTCCCAAGACCCAGATCATACCCCATCTTCAAGGAACTTTTTCTGAGACCTCTGAAGTGACACCCTCACTCCACCATCCAGCCCAGTATTCACACATAAAACTAGGCAGATATCCTTTTGGGGTCTCCCATAGCTCCCTCTGTATAACTCTACCTTAGCATGCATTCATTTGCATAACAAATACTGGGTGCCATTATGTATTAGGTGCTAGCAATAACGGCAGAGAATAAGACAAACAAGGCCCTTGCCTTCCTTGTCAGTGAAAAAGCCACTGAGCAAATACAATGATTTTCTGTTAAATTACAGGTCTCTTCCATCTAAGAGTCTAAAATCCTTAAATTTGAACAAATGGTTTTATTCATGTTTATAGTCCGGTGGAGAATTTAGTGCAGCCCCTGACACACTGTCCTTGGCTTACTGCAAGGATGCGCAAACCTTCTGTGAGCAGGATTAATGCATGTTAGTACAATGACCTCAGAAATTGTGAGTTCAAGTTGGAGAAAGTCACATGTGAGATATCCACAATTTAAGCAGAAGTCATTTTAAATATATGAGTTTTAAAGAGTGTACTAATTCATCAAGTGCAAATACCTTCAAATGAAACTTAAAAGATATATGTATGTCTAAGAGTCATATATATAACCTATATTTTTGACCTAAGAGTCAAAAAATGTAAAATCCAATCAAGCGATTTAATTGGTTGAAAGTGGCAGAATTTTTGTGAGCAAATGGGTAGTGCATGTAATTTGAATCCAATACCTCACTTCAGTTTTTGTAGCCCAAAACAAAGTAACTCTAAAGGGAGATGCAATACGGTAATTGGGACAGAGAGGGAAATCATTCTGGACATCTGTATTCCAGGCCTCATAACTCGCCAAAATCTCTGGTCTAATCAATCTCCATTTACCAGAATGGTACCTGGCCCATAGTGTATATGCATCTTTTAAGTTCAGGAATTTTTGCAATTAAGAATAAAAAGGTGTTAAGAGAATTTAAACCATGGCATTAAACAGATCCTCTGTGTATTTGGTACCTTGAGTCCTTATAATGATTAAGTGGTTCTGGCTTCTTACAATGGCAACCTTAATTAAAATTTAAAATGCAAAACTGAGTAGTTGATTTAGACACCTAAGTTTCAGCTGAAATCTTGCTGAGTTTGTGGACAGCATTGGAACAGCTAAGAGAAATTCATGTTCATCATATTAATTGTTATGATTAACTTTAAAAACCATTATTTAAGGACTCAGGACGGCATTAAATCTAACACTTGAAGTACGTATGGAAGGAGCATCTCTTACAGAACCAAATAAAGAGGAAAGCTACCGCCTTTCAGGTTGCTTCTGGAAGTTCTGAGTCAAGAAGCTGCGGCAGCTGCTACAGTACTGGGATCTGGAAGCCAACATCAGAGAGCCTCTGCCACCACTGCCATCGGTTATCTCATCACATCATCAAGCTGGTAACTGGGTGCTGAAATCACCACCGCAGAAAATGCTCCCCTTTCTGGAACCCCTTCTCCATCAAGAGAAACAGCCCAAAGTGGGTAGAAATACGGCTTCGGCTTTGGCTCAGTGTTCCACATCTTGGTGAAGGCATTTTAACTGGCAGAATGTAATCTGCATTAGAATTGTAGTCGCAGGAAGTCTGGGTAATGTCACTTTTAGCATTCCAGCCATTGTGCAAGACGGCACACTCGCAGAAGGAAAGAAGGGAGATTGAGCAAGGAAATCCAAAGCGTCCCAAACTAGTCTCAACCTATCCAATTAGGCCGGAGACTGTCTTGGGCCATGCCCCCTAGAAATAGAGCCTGAGACAAGAATTCTTTTTCAAGTGATGTATTAGGGAAGTGCTCTCTGGAAGAGGGAGGTGAAGGAAGGAGGTTTGGCCAGGAAGACAAGAAATAAGAAAGAACCTCAGCTGTGTTCACCAGCAGTTGTTATCCAAGAAGGCCAGCGTTTTTGTACCTCCATGCCACTGGATGAGGTCTCCAGGGACAGGAGAACAATTCTCTGGGGAAGGCGGCATCCCGAATTCTCATCCAACAGAGCAGCTGAAATACAGATGCAGTAGCAGATAAAGTGGGCTTGGGCAGGGCACGAAGAGAATTCACTACAGTCCACCCCTTGCGATGCTTAGATCACTTACCTTTCACATGAAGCTACTCCATCCAAGCACAGTTTTCCCAGAATTCTTATTTGTCACAATTTCTGGGAAATTATATAAGAGGAGAGCAGTAGGACAAACTGCAGTCTCAACTGCTGCCGTCGGCATCCAGGCCATTACTGATACTCCTTATCTCCACCTCTACCGCCTTTTCTAGATTCCCCTCTGCCTCAGCTATCACTTCTGCTCGTCTAGGTCGTTTGACTGATGGATTGACCCAGGCACTGTTCCCTCGGAGGTTTAATACCCTGGTTGTCATGTTCATATCGTGGTGGGGTTGCTGTACTTATCTGTTTATGGTTACAACCAGGCATGGGAATACCAAGAAATGCCCCCAGTGGGCCTCCTGAGTGCCGCGCACACTCTTCTCTGTCTCCATTATGTACCAGCAGCCCTGTGTCCTGCTGATTTGTCAGGCTTATAGCATTAGGAGCCCAAAGTGACCAGAGAGCAAACATTGCTCTAAGTTTAGTGGGCCTTTTACCGTGTCCTCTGAAGGCAGCATCCCACATCTGAGTATCAGACTCTCTAGGCTACCAGAGCCTCAAGCCGCAGAGACAGGAAACACAAAGTCTCCAAATGGATCACTGGGAGTGATGGCGAGCAGGCCACTCCCATTTTTATCCCTTGATCTCTAGACCCATGTATTCTACCTATGAGGGACCCTTGACCCATGCTATGGCCATTGACTTAAGTATATTGCATCCTGAAGAATAATAATCCAATCTCACAAGGTGTCATTTCAACCCTGGAGCCTCAGCTGAGCCTTCAAAAGGCCGTTGCTCCGCTCCACCAATCTGACACATTCCAGCGGTGTGGCCTGCGACGTGTGTTGTAACCAGCAGAGCCTCCAGTCAAGTGCCTGCCACCACACCGTCTTGCTGTAAAGTGAGCCCCTTGGTCAATGGCGGCATGACATGAGGTCCTATGTCAGAATATCAGACTCAATCCGAGGCAGTATTATGTCAGATCCCACATCAGGGTCCTTGGATAGTGTTCTGGATGAAGGGCTGTGGGCAGGAAGAGCAGACCCATGCTTAGAATACATGTCAGACCTGGTCGGGATGCAGTGTCACCATTTACATGTCGGGGGGGCTCGATGTAATCAACCTGCCACCCAGCAAGTTTTAAGGGGCTCCTTAAAAGCTTAGTGCCAGTCTCTGCTGCTGACAGGGCAGACATTTAGTAGCAGCACTCATTGGGTTGGCTTTGGAGACAAAGTCCAAGTTGTTTGGCCCATTCATCCCTCCATCTCCGCCATCATGGCTATTCCATCCACGAGCCCGTGTGTCAGAACTTGGGCGACCACTGATGTAGGCTGGCCACCATCTGCTGGCCTCGTCATCCTGTCTGCTTGATTGGTTAGCACCTCTTTTGCCACGGACACTCCCTAATGGGCCTTATTTACCATAAAAGATCCTCACACTCTGTGCTCTCCCATAGATCCAGTCATCTGTCTCTTCTCCAGCCTTCCCCAATCTTTCTCCTTCCAACCCCTGACCCATACGCTAAGCTGACATTGGTCACTAAAGAATACCCTCGTACCCCGGCCACTTCTGTCTCCAAAGTCGATGCCTAAAACTCTGCCAACCGGGA